TTTACTTAAACATATTAAAAATATTATTGATAGAGAAATTATTTTTACATGAGGTCACTGCTGCTTTAAATTATGTCCACAGCACTGTTAGTGTCACACTGTTTAGTCCTGGTTTAGACCTGGTTTTAGTCCTGGTTTTAGTCCTGGTTTTAGTCCTGGTTTTAGTCCTGGTTTTAGTCCTGTTTTTAGTCCTGTTTTTAGTCCTGTTTTTAGTCCTAGTTTAGACCAGGTTCAGTCCAGGTTCAGTCCTGGTTTCAGTCCTGGGTTTAGTCCTGGGTTTAGTCCTGGGTTTAGACCTGGTTTAGACCTGGTTTAGACCTGGTTCAGACCTGGTTCAGACCTGGTTTAGTCCTGGTTTTAGTCCTGGTTTTAGTCCTGGTTTAGTCCTGGTTTAGTCCTGGTTTAGTCCTGGTTTAGACTAGGGGTGTGCAAATATATTGAAATATCGATATATCGAATCATTTAATATGATGATACAGTATCGATATCGTGGGCTGCTGTATCAATATATCACTAAAAGTGTTTTTTGCTCTATTTTACAACATTATTTTGTTACAGCACAACAGTTCAGAGGAAAGAATCTTTTTTTATGCGACACATTTGACATTTTCACTGTTTTTTGGATTAAAATGTTTGCGTTTCATATGAACTTTGCACAAGAAGTGGTTCAATAAACACTTTTAGTACCACAGGGACGATTTAGCAAATATTATTTATTAAACCGTATCAAATCGATTTGAAATATATCGTATCGTATTGCACTGTATCAAGATATGTATCGTATCGTGGACTGTGTATCGAGGTATGTATCGTATCGCCGGCTTAACGATACCCAGTCCTAGTTTATACTTAAAATCCCATCATATAATCCATTTATTTCAACAAAGTAACTGTAATCCAATTCCCACTCACTGAAACAGTAACTGTAACTGAATACAGTTACTCATAATTTGTACTCTGATTACTTAACTCTGGTACATGTAATCTGTTACTCCTCACACATACACAAAACCCCCGGCAGAAGCAGTCGCTGTGGAAGTTCCAGTGTGTGTTTTGGTGGAAATAGCAGCCGTGTCTAAAATTCCACGTTCAGTTCAAAAGTTCCACGAGCCGAGATTCTAATTAAGGTTTTGGGAAAAGGAAACCCTCAAATCAAATCCCTCCCAGAGCGGCTCCGTCCCTGCTGCTTCCAAAGACCAGAGGACGACGTCTAAAACATGTTCAACACACAAACAGAAAACACTCGCTTCCACCTTGTGATGTCACGTGGGAATTCTGTGTTTTTAAACTCCACACACTTTCACTAGAAACTTTTAGATCATTTAAGCCCTGCTGGAATTGTCAATCTTTACAGAACTAAAAGGTAAAAGGAGATGTTCACTTGAAAACTACAGTGTCATGACATCACAAGGTGGAACAGAGCGTTTTGAGCTTTGGAGATGTGAACAGGTGAATAATAAAGATTTACTCAAACCAAATCTGTGCAATTAACTGACTTTTGATCGCGATGACGATTTGTGTGTCAGAACATCTCCAAACTCATAAAATCAAATTATTTAAAAGCTTAACAAAGTTTATTTTGGGATATTTTATGTATTTATATATTTTTTTTAATACAGAGATTGTAGAAGAGTTGGATATAGAGTTTATTTTTGACACATTTATGTTTTTCTGCCTTATTTCATGTTCAAAGTTTATTTTATTCATTTTATGTTTTATACATCACAAAACTGCTCTAAGGTTCAGATTTGTAACCTGAATTTATTTTCAGTTTGAATGTTTTACGCAAATTATCAATAACAAAGTGGGTGTTTTTTGAGAGTGAAATGCTGAATAAATGCATCATTCATCCATTTTCTCTTATCCGGGGAGGGCAGCAGTCTAAGCAGGGACTCCCAGACTCCTTCACCCCAGACACTTCCTCCAGCTCCTCTGGGGTTGACTCCGAGGTGTTCCCAGGCCAGTCCAGAGACATAGTCCCTCCAGTGTGTCCTGGGTCTTCCCCGGGGCCTCCTCCTGGTGGGACATGAACACCTCCTGAGGGAGACGTCCAGGAGGCATCCGGAACAGACGCCCGAGCCTCAACTGCTCCTCTCGATGTGGAGGAGCAGCGGCTCTACTCCGAGCTCCTCCCGTGTGACTGAGCTCCTCACTCTATCTCTAAGGGAGACGCCCAGACACCCTGTGGAGGAAACTCATTTCAAGCGCTTGTATCTGTGATCTCGTCCTTTCGGTCATTACCCAGAGCTCATGACCAGAGGTGAGAGGAGGAACGAAGACTGACAGTAAATCGAGAGCTTCTCCTTTCGGCTCAGCTCCTCTTCACCACAACGGTCCGATACAGCGACCGCATCACTGCCGACGCTGCACCTGTCCACCTGTCAAAAGCTCCGTCCTCCCCTCACTCCAGAACAAGACCCTGAGATACTTGAACTCCTCCACTTGAACACAGCTCCTGCTCCATTCATACAATGCATCATCCATTTTCTTCCGCTTATCGCCTCGGGGTCCCCCCAGAGGAGCTGGAGGAAGTGTCTGGGGTGAAGGAAGTCTGGGAGTCCCTGCTTAGACTGATGCCCCACGACCCGACCCCAGATAAATGCATCATGTAACAAAAAAATAATCGCTTGAATAATGGTGATTTCAATATTGACCAAAATAATCATGAGAAGGATTTTTCCATAATCGAGCCGCACAAACTCAGACGAGTGTTTCCTCGTCACAAACTGGAGCTGTGTTTTTTTGTTTCATTCACATTGTTAAGAAATAATAAGTTTTGTGCCAGAAAATGGGTCACACAGGTTTATAAAAAACAAACGAGTGACTAAACGAAGGGACACACAACACTCAGTCCTGGTCTGATCCCTGTCTAAGTCCTGGTCTCAGTCCCGGTCTGGTCCTGGACCTGGTTTAGTTCTGTTTTAGTCCCAGTTCAATCTTGGTTCAGTCCCGGTTCTAGTCCCGTTTTAGTCCTGGTTTTAGTCCTGGTTCAGTCCTGGATAAAAACAAACGAGTGACTAAACAAAGGGACAAACAACACACAACTAAATCACGTGTGTCCCAAAAGTCAAAATTTTCTTGACTCAAATTTGTGTGAATGAAACAAAACACAAGTCCAGCTCTGTTTTTGAGGAGGAAACAACATAAAACGTGATTTAAAGTTCACAATTTTGTCCGTTTTGTGTGATGTAGAAGTTTTAAAACACACACGGACCTAAACTGACCCTGAACTGAACCGTCGTCCCGCTCGGGTTGAAGCGAAGGGAAAACAAACAAAACAGAAACAGGTTTGAAAAGGTCAACAGCAGCAAGAAGAACAAAACAGCTGATCAAATGACACGACTCCACCAAACAAACGGGAGGATCTGACGGAGACGAGTTTACGACCAGGTCATTTACACGCGAGAAGTTCACAACAACAACGACGATCTCCAGGACAAGAGAGGACAGAGACGAGGACAGAGACGAGGACAGAGACGAGGACAGAGACGAGGACAGAGAGACGAGAACAGAGACGAGTTAGAGAGATCCAGACGAGAACAGACAACGAGGAAGAAGACAGGACAGAGACGAGGACAGAGACGAGGACAGAGACGAGGACAGAGACGAGGACAGAGACGAGGACAGAGACGAGGACAGAGACGAGGACAGAGACGAGGGCAGAGACGAGGGCAGAGACGAGGGCAGAGGACAGAGACGAGGGCAGAGACGAGGGCAGAGACGAGGGCAGAGACGAGGACAGAGACGAGGACAGAGACGAGGACAGAGACGAGGGACAGAGACGAGGACAGAGACGAGGACAGAGACAGAGACGAGGACAGAGACGAGGACAGAGACGAGGACAGAGACGAGTTTATGATCAGGTCATTTTCACCAGTTTGTCAAAGCCTGATCCTGTCAGATCTCAGACGCTCAGCAGGTTGGGTCTGGGTGGGACTTGGATGGAGACACTGGGAACATCAGGAGCCACAGGAGGCACCAGTGGCAAAAAACTGTCGTTGTGTCCTTAGGCAAGACACTTCACCCACATTGCCTCGTATGAAAGTGTCGTGTGTGTGTGTGGGTGGGTGATGGTGGTGGTTGGAGGGGCCGATGGCACAGATTGGCAGCCTCGCTTCCTGTCAGTCTGCCCCAGGGCAGCTGTGGCTACAGTAGTAGTTTACCACCACTGAGTGTGGAGTGACTGAATAATGAACTGTAAAGTGCTTTGGGTATTTTGAAAGGCGCTATGTAAATGCAATCAATCAATCAATCAATCAATTACACAAGAACATCACAACACCAACAACAACCACCTCCAGGAGCAGAGGACAGAGACGAGGACAGAGACGTTTAGACCTGGTTTTAGACCTGGTTTTAGACCTGGTTTTAGACCTGGTTTTAGAACCTGGTTTTAACCTAGTTCAGTCCTGGTTAAATCCTGCTTTAGTCCTGATTTTAGACCTGATTTAGACCTGCTTTTAGTCCTGCTTTTAGTCGTGGTTTAACTCCATTTCAGTTTTTGAAGAGAAAACAACATTAGAACTCGGTTTAAAACTCACAGGAAACGCGTGATATGTGACGTTTTTACGCAAACTCGCGCGTAAAAACGAGTTATAACTAAAAACTTTGCGGACCGACGATTATTAACGCAATTAGAAGTGACTCTGAACCAAAATTATAACTTTATTTCGTGGAGTTGGAGCCTCTGAGACAATGGAGCAGCGTTTTTCGGATTATCTGTTTTAACGGCGCTTGTTCGCGTTACGTTAATCTTTTTACGCGTAAACACCACGAGCCAAAACGCAAACACACTGCAAACGCGCGTCCGTAAAAACTTATATTCGTCTTAAAATGTGAGAAATTAGTTGTGACAAGTTTGTTTCGCGAGCAGAAGCGGCGAGTAGAAGCGTGCGTCAAAGCAACAGGCTGCGGAGCGTTTGCGTAAAAAGCGGCGTAATCCGTGCAGCTTTCTTTTGGAGACGTGCGTAAAATCACGGCCGAACAAAACTCAAACTCACCGAACTTTTCTCAGGCAGAAAGTGGGAATTTCTTTCTTGGATGTGACGTGAAAAGGCGGTATTCCAAAGCCAGAACGCGGCAGATTTTTCCCGAACTTGTCCAGATCCCGTCGGTTCCTCCGCATCGCTACGCCATGATGTGACCGAGTGGCGTGGAAGAAGGAAAAAAAAAAACCTCTCGGGTCGTCGTGGCTGGAGAATCCCGCCCTGTTGCTGCGTGGATTTGCTCCGGGATTGGTCCAGGAGCAGGAACTTTTCCCATGATGCCTTCACGGGACGACGGGGAAAACACGGGAGACGAGTTTTGCGTTTACGACTTTGTTTATAATCTCATTTTCGCTTCAAAATACCGAATATTCTGATTCATTCCAACTTCCGAGATCACCCAATCCAAACAGAAACTCCAATTTAAGGTTCTGATTGTGACTTTTTGTACAATTATAGTCACATTTCCTTATTTAGACATGTCGTGTTGCGTAAATTTCCCGGGCGTTAGTCACATCCGAGCTAAAAACAATTCAGGGAAGTGGAAGCAATTTTTCTCATTAATTTGAACTTTAATACAGACACACAACATTGAAACTTTATTATCATTTATCACTAAAGCAACAACTCGGAGCTAAGAAGCCAAAAGAGCTGGAAAATATGACGAATGAAGGAGCGAAGGCGACCTCTAGCGGCGCGCCATGGAAACTGGAAAATACAAGTGGCAAAAATGACGCGTCCTCGTGGTTGACATTATTAATGCTGTGAATAAAAAAAATAAAATAAAATTAAAATTAAAATCTGTTTAATTAATATTTTATAAGACCTATTTTATAAGACCTAAAGAACATTTTACACTGGTCGACCGTAACACCGGCTACTGTCAGTTATAACTGTACAGGCTACTATTTTTTTTTCTTTTTTGTTTATTGCATTTTTAAACATATTATTATTATTATTATTATTATTATTATTATTATTATTATTATTATATATATATTTTTTTTTGTATTATTATTATCATAATTTTGTTTTGTTTTGACGGACCCACTGCCTATAAAATAAACATGAAACAACTATTTTCTTCATTATTTGTGTCCAAAACCAAAATGAAAAAAAAACAGATAATGATTTGTTTTTTCAATTTTTCGATTTTGTGTTTAAATGAAAAATGGAAAAAACTAATAATGACCTGGTTTTGTCATGGTCTAGTCCTGTTTTAGTCCTGTTTTAGTCCTGGTTTAGTCCTGGTTTAGTCCTGGTTCAGTCCTGGTTCAGTCCTGGTTTAGTCCTGTTTCAGTCCTGGTTCAGTCCTGTTTTAGTCCTGGTTTAGTCCTGGTTTAGTCCTGTTTCAGTCCTGGTTAGTCCTGGTTTAGTCCTGGTTTAGTCCTGGTTCAGTCCTGGTTCAGTCCTGGTTTAGTCCTGTTTTAGTCCTGGTTCGGTCCTGGTTCGGTCCTGTTTCAGTCCTGGTTCAGTCCTGGTTTCAGTCCTGGTTTAGTCCTGGTTCAGTCCTGGTTCAGTCCTGGTTTAGTCCTGTTTCAGTCCTGGTTCAGTCCTGGTTCAGTCCTGGTTTAGTCCTGTTTCAGTCCTGTTTCAGTCCTGGTTTCAGTCCTGGTTTAGTCCTGGTTTAGTCCTGTTTCAGTCCTGGTTCAGTCCTGGTTCAGTCCTGGTTTAGTCCTGGTTTAGTCCTGGTTTCAGTCCTGTTTAGTCCTGGTTTCAGTCCTGGTTCAGTCCTGTTTTAGTCCTGGTTTAGTCCTGTTTCAGTCCTGGTTCAGTCCTGGTTCAGTCCTGGTTTAGTCCTGGTTTAGTCCTGGTTCAGTCCTGGTTCAGTCCTGTTTCAGTCCTGTTTTAGTCCTGGTTCAGTCCTGGTTTAGTCCTGGTTCAGTCCTGGTTCAGTCCTGGTTTAGTCCTGTTTCAGTCCTGGTTCAGTCCTGGTTCAGTCCTGGTTTAGTCCTGGTTCAGTCCTGGTTCAGTCCTGGTTTAGTCCTGGTTTAGTCCTGGTTTAGTCCTGGTTCAGTCCTGGTTCAGTCCTGGTTCAGTCCTGGTTTAGTCCTGGTTCAGTCCTGTTTAGTCCTGGTTTAGTCCTGGTTTAGTCCTGGTTTAGTCCTGGTTCAGTCCTGGTTCAGTGCGGCATCGCAGTTTAAGTCTCATAAACAGGAAACGGTTGTTATCCATTTTTTTCTTATTATTATTTTTGGTTTTATTTTGAAAAACAAATAAACAAATGACACACGGATTATTTTAAAACCTCGGGTCTTGAGTCAAAGTCAAAGTGAACATTATTTTTAATCACATCATGTAACAGAGGGGGATCGAAATTGTGTTTTCCCCAAACTCCAAATGTTCACTTTATAAACTAAAACACACATCAGTGATAAATAAATAAAATAAACACAAAATAATGACAAACAGAAAGACAAAGGACAGATACATTTCCAACAAGAACAGAAATGAGGTAGTTTGTTTTTGCACTGGTTGGGTGTGGCTGATTTCAGATTTTCCTGTTCTGCTTTTTGTTTTAAAATTTCTTTAAGGCGTCAGATCGAAGGGGACGTAAACAAAACCAAGAACAAGACACGACAACACATCAACAACACATCAACAACACACCAGCACGGAGGAAGGCTACAGGAAGGAACTGAAACGTGTACAGCGCAAAAACAAACACTTCTGTCAGACGAAAAGAAGAAGTTAATCCTAAATTTAGGACAAAATGATGCTTTACCAAAAAAAATCCCTAAAGTGTGTAATCTGTGTGTCAGTCGTTCATTTGTTTTTCAAAATAAAACTCAAAAGCAGGAAAATGAAAAAAAAAAAATATATATATATTTTCTTCATTATTTGTCTCCAAAACCAAAATGAAAAAAACAGATAATGATTCATTTTTTTCAGTTTTCAATTTTGTGTTTAAATGAAAAATGGAAAAAAAAAAAAAAAAAAAAAACGGATAACGGTCTAAACCAGGACTGAACCTGTCTCATTCGTAGTCTCGGTCCTGGTCTCAGTCAGTCCGGGTCTAGTCCCAGTCTCAATCCTGATCTTGTCTCGGTCTGGTCCCGACCTCAGTCCCAGTCTCAGTCCTGGTCTGGTCCCAGTCTTAGTTCTGGTCTCAGTCCTGGTCTCAATCTCAGTCCTAAACCAAGACTAAACCAGAACTGAACCAGGAGTTTTGGAATGGGCCCGGAGGGTGATCAGGACTGAGAACGGGGACCGGGACTGAGACCGGGACTGAGACCGGGACCAGACTGAGACAAGATCAGGATTGAGACCGGGACGAGGCCAGGACCAGACTAGGACTGAGATCAGGACTGAGACTGATTTAGTCCTGGTTTAGTCCTGGTTTAGACCTTGTTTAGACCTGGTTTAGACCTTGTTTAGACCTTGTTTAGACCTGGTTTAGACCTTGTTTAGTCCTGGTTTAGTCCTGGTTTAGTCCTGGTTTTAGACCTGGTTTAGTCCTGGTTTAGACCTGGTTTAGTCCTGGTTTAGACCTGGTTTAGACCTTGTTTAGACCTGGTTTAGACCTTGTTTAGTCCTGGTTTAGTCCTGGTTTAGTCCTCGTTTAGACCTGGTTTAGTTTAGTCCTGGTTTAGACCTTGTTTAGTCCTGGTTTAGTCCTGGTTTAGACCTGGTTTAGTCCTGGTTCAGTCCATTATCCGTTTTTCCATTTTTCATTTAAACACAAAATCAAAAAAAAAAAAAAAAAAAAAAAATCATTATCTGTTCTTTTTTTTTTTTTTTTGAATTTTGGTTTTGGAGACAAATAATGAAGAAAATCGTTGTTTTTCATTTTCTTATTTTTGGTTTTATTTTGAAAAACAAATGAACGAGTGACACAGATTTTGGGCGTCACTGTACTGGGGTCACTTTTTTACATTTTTCTTCAGGCCTGTTTCGTGGGGGGTTAGAGTCGGTCGGTTTGTCTCGGCGTCGGGTCGGGCTGCGGGTCGTGCTGCGGGTCGTGCTGCGGGTCGTGCTGCGGGTCGTGCCCTAAAGCGGGTGTCTCTTGAAGTTCCTCTCCGCCGTCACCGTGCCGGGGTCACATTCCAGCATGTCTCTGATCCAGGCGTCCCTGAGCGCTCCCTCCGTGAACTCCGGCAGGCTGATGACGGCTGCGGACACAACAAGGTCACGGACACAAAAGGGACGATTGTGCGTCGCCGCGGGAGCCCGGCTACAGCCCGGACCTCCCCCCGACACAAAACAAAGACCCGGAGCTGTACACGACGACAAAGAACTGAAAAACTGTACTCGAGTAAAAGCGCCGACACACGACCGATGGGGTTTTCAGTTTCAAGTAAAAATATCGGGCCTAATTTGTTGTAAAACCTTAAAAACCTGTTATTTCCTCCTCAAAATCAGACCTGGAGTTGAGTTTTGTTTCATTCACATGTTTGAGTGACTCTTTATTTTTAGTCTGTTTACATCTGCAAAGCTCAAAATGCTCTGATCCACCTTGTGATGTCATGAAGTGGAGGTTTTCAAGTGAGAAGTTGATGAATTGTGTTTTAGAGCAGTGGTCACGGACTGGTTTTATGTACGACAGTATTTTCATGGACTGGTTCATTCTGGATCATTTAGTCCTGGTTAAATCCTGGTTTAGACCTGGTTTTAGTCCTGGTTTTAATCCTGGTTTTAGTCCTGGTTTTAGTCCTGGTTTTAGTTCTGGGTTTAGTTCTGGGTTTAGACCTGGTTTAGACCTGGTTTAGACCTGGTTTATACCTGGTTTAAGTCCTGGTTTTAGATCTGGTTTAGTCCTAGTTTAGTCCTGGTTTTAGTCCTGGTTTTAGACCTGGTTTAGTCCTAGTTTAGACCTGGTTTAGACCTGGTTTTAGACCTGGTTTTAGTCCTGGTTTTAGTCCTGGTTTAGTCCTGGTTTTAGACCTAGTTTTATACCTGGTTTATACCTGGTTTTAGACCTGGTTTAGACCGGGTTTTAGACCTGGTTTAGACCTGGTTTAGACCTGGTTTAGACCTGGTTTTAGGGTTTAGTCTTGGTTTAGTGGTTTAGTCCTGGTTTTAGTTTTCCTGGTTTTAGACCTGGTTTAGACCTGGTTTAGACCTGGTTTAGATGTGGTTTTAGTCCTAGTTTTAGTTCTTGTTTAGAGGCATGAGAAACACAGGAGGAGGCCCGGTCCTCGCAGTGTATCGGGGGGAGGGTTTATACTATGTAAACATGTAGGAAAAGTCACCGTCGTTGTCTTTGTCGAGGCTCTGAAAGATCCGGGCGGTGCATTCTTCGGGCGTCAGTGGGTTTTGTGGAGTCAGCGACGCGGCCACAGTCATTTTGTAAACGGCCTGTGACAAAAAGAATCACAGAGACTTTTACAATAATCACATTTTACGTTTGTAATTTTTTAGTTACAAGTAGAAGTATCAGGCCTCATATTACAAAACTTAAAACCACGATCTAATGTCGTTACACATCACAAACAGACCTGAAGAACCTCGTACCTGTCGTAGTTCGTGTGGTACCTGTCGTAGTCTGTGTGGTACCTGTCGTAGTCTGTGTGGTACCTGTCGTAGTTCGTGTGGTACCTGTCGTAGTCTGTGTGGTACCTGTCGTAGTCTGTGTGGTACCTGTCGTAGTCTGTGTGGTACCTGTCGTAGTCTGTGTGGTACCTGTCGTAGTCCGTGTGGTACCTGTCGTAGTTCGTGTGGTACCTGTCGTAGTCGTGTGGTACCTGTCGTAGTTCTGTGTGGTACCTGTCGTAGTTCGTGTGGTGGTACTGTCGTAGTTGTGTGGTACTGTCGTAGTGTGTGGTACCTGTCGTAGTTCGTGTGGTACCTGTCGTAGTCGTGTGGTACCTGTCGTAGTGTAGTCGTGTGGTACCTGTCGTAGTCTGTGTGGTACCTGTCGTAGTTCTGTGTGGTACCTGTCGTGTGTACCTGTCGTAGTCGTGTGTGGTACCTGTCGTAGTCTGTGTGGTACCTGTCGTAGTCTGTGTGGTACCTGTCTGTCGTGTACCTGGTAGTTCTGTGTGGTACCGTGTGGTACCTGTCGTAGTCTGTGTGGTACCTGTCCGTAGTAGTCGTGTGGTACCTGTCGTAGTACCTGTCTGTGTGTAGTCCGTGTGTACCTGTCGTAGTAGTCGTGTGGTACCTGTCGTAGTTCGTGTGGTACCTGTCGTAGTTCGTGTGGTAGTGTGGTACCTGTCGTAGTCTGTGTGGTACCTGTCGTAGTTCGTGTGGTACCTGTCGTAGTGTGGTACCTGTCGTAGTTCGTGTGGTACCTGTCGTAGTTCGTGTGGTACCTGTCGTAGTTCGTGTGGTACCTGTCGTAGTCGTGTGGTACCTGTCGTAGTCTGTGTGGTACCTGTCGTAGTTCGTGTGGTACCTGTCGTAGTTCGTGTGGTACCTGTCGTAGTTCGTGTCTGTGTGGTACCTGTCGTAGTTCGTGTGGTACCTGTCGTAGTCTGTGTGGTACCTGTCGTAGTTCGTGTGGTACCTGTCGTAGTTCGTGTGGTACCTGTCGTAGTCGTGTGGTACCTGTCGTAGTCCTGTGTGGTACCTGTCGTAGTTCGTGTGGTACTGTCGTAGTCGTTCGTGTGGTACCTGTCGTAGTTCGTGTGGTACCTGTCGTAGTCGTGTGGTACCTGTGTGTGTCGTGTGGTACCTGTCGTAGTTCGTGTGGTACCTGTCGTAGTCTGTGTGGTACCTGTCGTAGTCTGTGTGGTACCTGTCGTAGTTCGTGTGGTACCTGTCGTAGTTCGTGTGGTACCTGTCGTGTGGTACCGTAGTCTGTGTGGTAGTCTGTGTGGTACCTGTCGTAGTTCGTGTGGTACCTGTCGTAGTTCGTGTGGTACCTGTCGTAGTCTGTGTGGTACCTGTCGTAGTCGTGTGGTACCTGTCGTAGTTCGTGTGGTACCTGTCTGTGTGGTACCTGTCGTAGTTCGTGTGGTACCTGTCGTAGTTCGTGTGGTACCTGTCGTAGTCTGTGTGGTACCTGTCGTAGTCTGTGTGGTACCTGTCGTAGTTCGTGTGGTACCTGTCGTAGTCTGTGTGGTACCTGTCGTAGTTCGTGTGCGTGTGGTACCTGTCGTAGTCTGTGTGGTACCTGTCGTAGTCGTGTGGTACCTGGTACCTGTGGTACCTGTCGTAGTTCGTGTGGTACCTGTCGTAGTCTGTGTGGTACCTGTCGTAGTTCGTGTGGTACCTGTCGTAGTCTGTGTGGTACCTGTCGTAGTACCTGTCGTAGTCGTGTGGTACCTGTCGTAGTCTGTGTGGTACCTGTCGTAGTTCGTGTGGTACCTGTCGTAGTCGTGTGGTACCTGTCGTAGTCTGTGTGGTACCTGTCGTAGTACCTGTCGTAGTCGTGTGGTACCTGTCGTAGTTCGTGTGGTACCTGTCGTAGTCTGTGTGGTACCTGTCGTAGTCTGTGTGGTACCTGTCGTAGTTCGTGTGGTACCTGTCGTAGTCGTGTGGTACCTGTCGTAGTTCGTGTGGTACCTGTCGTAGTCTGTGTGGTACCTGTCGTAGTCTGTGTGGTACCTGTCGTAGTGTGTGGTACTGTCTGTCGTAGTCTGTGGTACCTGTGTACCTGTGTACCTGTGTAGTCGTGTGGTACCTGTCGTAGTACCGTGTGGTACCTGTCGTAGTGTCGTAGTGTGGTACCTGTCGTAGTCCTGTGTGGTACCTGTCGTAGTTCGTGTCGTAGTCGTGTGGTACCTGTCGTAGTCTGTGTGGTACCTGTCGTAGTCTGTGTGGTACCTGTCGTACCTGTGGTCTGTGTGGTACCTGTCGTAGTTCGTGTGGTACCTGTCGTAGTCGTGTGGTACCGTGTCGTGTGGTACCTGTCTGTGTGGTACCTGTCGTAGTCTGTGTGGTACTGTCGTAGTTTGTGTGGTACCTGTCGTAGTCTGTGTGGTACCTGTCGTAGTCTGTGTGGTACCTGTCGTAGTCTGTTGTGGTACCTGTCGTAGTTCGTGTGTGGTACCTGTCGTAGTCTGTGTGGTACCGTGTCGTAGTCTGGTGGTACCTGTCGTAGTCTGTGTGGTACCTGTCGTAGTTCGTGTGGTACCTGTCGTAGTCTGTGTGGTACCTGTCGTAGTCTGTGTGGTACCTGTCGTAGTTCGTGTGGTACCTGTCGTGTCGTGTGGTACCTGTCGTAGTCTGTGTGGTAGTCTGTGTGGTACCTGTCGTAGTCTGTGTGGTACCTGTCGTAGTCGTGTGGTACCTGTCGTGTACCGTGTGGTACCTGTCGTGTGGTACCTGTCGTAGTTGTCGTGTCTGTGTGGTACCGTGTCGTAGTCGTGTGTGGTACCTGTCGTAGTCCGTGTGGTACCTGTCGTAGTTCGTGTGGTACCTGTCGTAGTTCGTGTGGTACCTGTCGTAGTGTCGTAGGTGTGGTACCTGTCGTAGTCTGTGTGGTACCTGTCGTAGTTCCTGTGGTGTCGTAGTTCGTGTGTACCTCGTAGTGGTACCTGTCGTAGTCTGTGTGTACCTGGTGTGGTACTGTGTAGTCTGTGTGGTACCTGTCGTAGTCTGTGTGGTACCTGTCGTAGTTCGTGTGGTACCTGTCGTAGTCTGTGTGGTACCTGTCGTAGTTCGTGTGGTACCTGTCGTAGTTCGTGTGGTACCTGCATTATCCCGAGCATCTCGTCTCTGGTTATGGCTCCGTCTTTGTCTTTGTCGTAGAGTTTAAAGGACCAGTGCAGTTTCTCCACCGCGGAACCTTCGAGGAGCAAACTGACGCCCAGAACAAACTCCCGGAAATCCACCAGCCCGTCCTGCACACGGAAGGATAAACTCATGCTTGTTTTGGAACAGTTTATTAGAGTTTTAGAACATGTTAGACACAGATCACACAAGCAGTTTTTACTTGTTTGAACATTTCCAGGCTACAGAGAGATCATTCTGGATTTTCGGGCAAAATGTTTACACAGTTGTCATGGTTCGTGAAGAGAGTCAGTACCATAGGCTGTATGTTTGGTCCCCACATCCATGGTCAAAGAACAGCTGCAGAATGAGCAGAGGTCTCCTTAAATACCCCTTAGCCCCGCCCCTGAAGTGACCAATTAACAAATCAAAGGGTTTTAAGGTTTAAATTAACTGTACTCAGAAACCATAAAGCAAATTATAACAAAATCAAAACAACCCAGTAACTCTCCACAGGCTGGTGCTTTATTAACTCATAAACTCAATAAACAGTGTTGGGAAGGTGACTTTTAAAATGTAATCCCCTACAGATTACAGATTACATCCCCCAAAATGTAGTTTGTAACGGAATCCATTAAATTACTTAAAGTAAATAATGTAATCTGAATACTTTGGATTACTTGATATTGTCATGCTTTTTAAAACTACATGAATATAGCAACCACATCCTGAAAATTCTTGTTTGTTCAGTCTTTACTTGACCAGATTAAAAATATTATTGATAGAAAAATGATTTTTATATGTAATCACAATTATGTCCACACTACTGTTAATGTCATATTGTATTAGTTTAGTCGTAGTTTAGTCCTGGTTTTAGTTCTGGTTTAGTCCTACTTTAGTTCAGGTTTTAGTCCTAGTTTAGTCCTGGTTTTAGTCCAGGTTTTACTCCGAGTTTAGTCCAGGTTATAGTCCTAGTTTAGACCTGTTTTAGTCCTGGTTTAGTCCCGATTTTAGTCCTGGTTTTAGTCGTGGTTTAGCCCAAAATGTAAAAACAGGAAAATCCCGCCGTGTAATCCATTTATTTCAGGGAAAGTAACTGTAATCCAATTACCACTCACTGAAACAGTAACTGTAACTGAATACAGTTACTCATAATTTGTACTCTGATTACTTAATTCCAGTACATGTAATCTGTTACTCCCCGACACTGTCAATAAATCAGGGAACTAATGTAACAAATGATCAATAATGGTTCAGTCTGTGATCACATGATGTTCTAGAGCGTCACCACGTGTTATTTAAAGTACAAACAAAAGTGCTTTGGTTTGGGCCGTGGAGCTGGAGCGGAGTGACGACGGCAGCAGGTCCAGAGCGTGTGGGCACCAAGTGGGCACCAAGTGGGCACCAAACACACCACCAAACACACCACCAAACACCACCAAACACACCAAACGCACCAACCAACCACCACCACCACACCACCAACACCACACCAACACACACCACCACAAACCACCACCAACACACCACCACCAACACACACCACCAACCACACCACCAACCACACACCACCAAACACACCACCACACACCACCAAACACACCACCAACACACACCACCACACACACCACCACACACCACACACCACCAAACACACCACCACCAAACACACCACCACACCACCACACCACCACACACCAAACCACACCACCACCAACCACACACCACCAACACACACACCACACACACCACCACACACCACACCACCACACACCAAACACCACCACCAACACACCACCACCACACCACCAAACACACCACCAAACACACCACCACACCACAAACACACACACCAAACACACCACCAAACACACAAACACACCACCAACACACCACCACCAACCACCACCACCAAAACACACACCAACCAAACACACCACCAAACACACCACCAACACACCACCAACACACCACAAACACCACCAAACACACCACCAAAACACCAAACACACCACCAACACACCAAACCACCAACACACACACCACCACCAAACACACCACCAAACACAAACACACCACCAAACACCAAACCACCAAACACACCACCAACCACAACCACCAACACACCACCACACCACACACCAACCACACCACCAAACCACACCACCAAACACACACCACCACAACCACACCACCAAACACACCACCACAACCACCACCAACACACCAAACACACCACCAACACCACACCACACCAAACACACCACCAAACGCACCACCACCAACCACCAACCACCACAACACACACCACCAAACACCACAAACACACCACCAAAACACACCACCAAACCACAACCACCAAACACACCACACAAACACAACACACCACCAAACACCACCACCAAACACACCACCAAACACACCACCACACACCACCAAACACACCACCAACCACACCACCACCAAACCACCACCACACAACCACACACCACCAACACCACCACCAAACCACCACCACCACCAAACACACAAACACACCACCAACCACCACCAAACCACACCAACCACACCACCAAACCACCACACCAACCCACCACCAAACCACCACCAACCACACCACCAAACACAACCACCAACCACCACACACCACCAAACACACCACAAACGCACCACCACCACCAACACACCACCACACACCACCACCAAACCACACCACCAAACACACCAACACACCACCAACCACAACCACCAAACACACCACCACACCACCACACACCACACACACACACACACACACACCACCACAACCACACCACCAAACACACACCAACCACACACCACACAAACACCACACAAACACACCACCAAAACACACCACCAAACACACCACCAAAAACACACCACCAAAACACACCACAAACACCACCACCAAACACACCACCAAACACACCACCACCACACAACACACCACCAACACACCACCAACACACCACCACCAAACACACACCAAACACACACCACAACACACACACCACCAAACACACACCAAACACACCACACACCAAACACACCACCACACCACCAACACACCACCAAACACACCACCAAACACACCACCAACACACCACCACACCACACACCACCAAACACAAACACACCACCAAACCCACACCACCAAACACACCACCAACACACCACCAACACACACCAAACACACCACCAACACCACCAACCACCACCGCACCACCAACCACACCACCACACCACCAAACACACACCACACACACACACCACCAACCACACACCACACCACCAAACACACCACCAAACCACACCACCACACCACACCACCACACCACCACACCACCACAACCACACACCACCACCACCAAACACACCACCAACACACACCACCAACACACACCACCAACCACACCACCAAACACACCACCAACCACACCACCAAACACACCACCAACCACACCACCAAACACACCACCAAACAACACCACCACCACCAACACCACCACCACACCACCAAACACACCACCAAACACACCACCAAACACACCACCAAACACACCACCAAACACACCAGGCAGCGGGGAACAGTTTGTTGGGGAACAGGGCCACGGGGGAACAGTTTATCTTGGCTGCGGCACACTGTTGGGCCAAAGAATGAAACGTTGACTGGGTAATGACGGACGACTCGCTGCAGTCAGTCACAAAAGCTCGAACTTGTCTAACTCTCTAAGAAATGTGTGGTATTTCTTTATTCGAGCTCGCCGCAAACTGCAAACATCTGAAAGTAAACCCAGAGCTGATCCAGACTAAACCCGGACTGGAATAGAACAAAACCAAATTTACCGCAGGGATAAACCAGGACCAATCCAGGACCAATCCAGGGCAAGTGTGAACCAGCCTCTTAATCACTGTAATGTGTAACAAGTGAACACAATCCTCTATTACATAACTGGGTCTCTGTTTTATTTGCTAGTGCCACCGCTCCTAGATCCCGATGCGCTCGATCTGAGTTCTGGCTCGTCATGTAAAGCTCCTGCGTGTATCTGATGTTGATCGTTACAAGCGCCGTTGTTACCCGCTGTCCACGGTTTGGTCGGTTTTGTTGTCAGATGCCCCGGCCGCTCGACGTCAGGCCTCGTGGATTGAGAAGCGTGTGTTTTACGTTGGCAGGTCACTGTTCTAGGTTCATGTAATGGGTTATTAACAAGTGAAACATGAAATATAATGTTCGTTTTAGGGTCTTCTTCGAGAAAAAAGATCACCCTGGACCCTAAAATAGGTGCCTCAAGTGGAGGAGTTCAAGTATCTCGGGGTCTTGTTCTCGAGTGAGGGGAGGATGGAGCGTGAGATTGACAGGTGGACAGGTGCAGCGTCGGCAGTGATGCGGTCGCTGTATCAGACCGTTGTGGTGAAGAGGAGCTGAGTCGAAAGGTGAAGCTCTCGATTTACCGTCAGTCTCCGTTCCTCCCCTCACCTCTGGTCATGAGCTCTGGGTAAGGACCAAAAGGACGAGATCGACGATACAAGCGGCATAACTTTTTTACAACCTCTACACCCTGTATCATATTTTGATGAACTCTTGCTAGTAATGAAAGGAATTGACCTTCAGTTGGTCATATTTTTGAAAAAAGTCTCCCCGGACTCAAAATGAAGTTTTGGTAAAGCAACAACCAGAATAAAACTGTTAGAAGGTTCATATCTGTTCAATCATAAAATAACCAAAGGCAATTTTCTCTTTAAAAACACAGAAAAAAACACATCATCAGGGTAAAGATCATATAAAATAGGAAAATAAAAGTCCAAAAATGATGATTGTCAGTGTTGTTAGCGACGATGAATCAAATGGTTTATAAAGTGAAGCAAGAATAGAAACTGAAACTCCAGTATTATGATGACAGTACAACTTATTATTGATCCATTTTCAGTCAAATTGACTTGTAATGGTCCATTGTGAGAACTTAGCGGTTTCACATTTCATTTTATATCATTGGCTGTAATGTGTATTTAATATTTTTTGTTTTGGGGGGACTTTTTTAAAAGAGTGTTGAAAATGGAGTTTGGTTTCTTCAATTATACCAAAGTTCATCCAATCATGATGCACGACTTTGATTTTGGAAAAAAGTTCAAAAAGTTATAACCCTAGTCTGAGCCCTTGTATTAGAAATAGAGTGAGAAGCTCAGTCACACAGGAGGAACTCGGAGTAGAGCCGCTGCTCCTTCATGTCGAAAGGAGCCAGTTGAGGCTCGGACATCTGCTTTGGATGCCTCCTGGGCGTCTCCCTCGGGAGGTGTTCCGGGCATGTCCCACCAGGAGGAGGCCCCGGGGAAGACCCAGGACATGCTGGAGGGACTTTGTCTCTGGACTGGGAACACCTCAGGATCCTCCAGGAGGAGCTGGAGGACGTGTGTGTGGAAAGGGAAGTCTGGGAGTCCCTGCTTGGACTGATGCATCCATGACCCGGCCCCAGATAAAGCGAAAGAAAATGGATGGACGGTGATCTTCTTTGACACATCACCTGGTGGAGCGGTGGCCCTGTGAACGAGCTGCTGCTTTCCTTCTGCTCTGTTTTATATTTTAAGGACAAAGTTATTGTACAGTTGCTTTGGTGAATCTTTAAATTGGTTTTAGTTTTAGTTTTGTGAATGTTCTATAGTCACTCTTAAAGTCACTCCAACAAAAAGAAACAAATGAATAACAGTAATATTAAATGATGTCACGTTTTGTAAATCACTTGTCTCTGTTTGTCAGTTAATGAACCTGTGAGCCTTATTTTAGTTTAGTAAATGCAGTTGTTGGGTTCATGTTCATTTATAACATATTGATAATATCGTATCGTGAGCCGTGTATCGAGTATCATATCGAATCGTGAGGGACTCTGCAATTCCCAGCCCTAACAGAAGTCACATGACCTCACCCCGTTGTTGTCCAGCGTGCGGAACAGCTCCTCTGCGTACTCGGCCGAGCCCCGCCCCCCGGTCCTGTCGCAGAAGTGTCTCTGAAACTCGTGCAGCGTGATGAGGCCACTCGGACACTCGTGAATGAACTTCCTGTCACGAGACGGAGACACAAACAGTGTCCTGTCAGCAAAAACTGTTCATTTATGGATTGAACTCGGGGCTGGTTAATGCTTCGTCCTTTTTGTTTACGGCGCCATTGTCATTTTTAAACACGCTGAGACGCACAAAATGAAAAACACAATTAGAATTTAACATATCAACTTTTCTAGAAAGGGTCCATAACCTGTTTGTCTCCATGAAGATGTTCATACTTTGGCTTAAATTGTCCACAGTCTGACATTAAACTGATCTCTTTTACATTTATACAACTCCAGGTGTTTATTTAATGCTCAAAAATATCTTTAGGCAGATATAAGGAAGTGTCACCAGCGTCTAAAAAGAACTGAAGAAGCAGCTTGGATGAACTGAGAAACGTTTTCGACCAAAATAAACTTTTGTCCAGTTGACAAATTTAATTTCTCCTTTGTTGTTCTGAGGTGACAACATTTTCATTTCACTTTACTGTGGAACATTCTACGTACATCTATATGGAGACGAGCAGGTGACGGACCCTCCACACTGAACCTTTAACATGCATAAACTCATACACGAGTAAGAAGCTTAAGACAATATCAGAAAAATCCTAAAACATGCCTAATGTGCACAGCAAAAACTTCAAGGTTAAAATATCAGTTTAAAATATTTCAGACTTGTTTTTAACACAAAAAGCAAAATTTTAACAATTTGAAAGTTAAATACGGGTTTTGAGTTGGAGTTACTTGCCAGAGTTGATGTGGCTGAAGTTAATTCAACTTCCCTTTGTGTTAATTCAACTTCCCTTTGTTTAGTGTTAATTTGGCCCCTCCCACCCTCCACTTCAAACTCTTGTGAGAGTAGAACCAGTTTGAACCAGTTTTGTTCATAATTTCATCTTAAATTCACTCAAATAAAGTGTAAAAATAAAACACCTCTGTGTGTTGTTTCGATAAATCAGGATAACCCTTCAAAGTGAGATCCGTTTACTCTCAAAACGTTAATACAACTCTTGATTTCGGGGTTAAACAGGAACTTTGGTCCAGTGTTACTTAATTAAGATTTCCAAAAATGTTAACCCTCTCCAGGCAGACGTTGCAGATTTGCAACAGCTAAATTCCAATTACCTACTTACTCCACATCCATATTTTATGAGCTTTTTTTACTCAGGAGCCTTTTCTGACATCCATGCTGATAAACATGGACGATGCAGACTGTGCAAGAATGACTACACGCTACTACTACGACCTGCCAGAAGTGCAAAATACTTTTTTTGTTTACAAAGGATAAAAAAGTCAGGATTGTATATTACTACCCCATATTATAATTTTCCCCAAATATCAGATTTTTCCTGATACTAAAAATTAATTTGAGCCTGAGAGGGTTAAATTCACAAAAAATAAAACAGATTGGACTCATATAAACCCTGAGAAAATGTTAAAACTGCTTCTGTGAGAGTCAATTTGAACACTGCACTTTTTGGTTATTTACAACGTTTCCTCAAATATTAGATCATTTTTCTCGGTCCAGTTTTTGTGTAATTGTGGTGAATTATCGTGAGATTAAAAACGTGTGAAGACAAACTGACCTGAACCACTGGTAGAGCTCGTAGGTCTCGTCTCTCCGGGTCGGGAGCATCGCCGCCTGCCCCATTTTGAGATGACCTGAGTCCTCCTGGTCCTGAAGCTTTATGCAGACCCCAAATCTGCTTACGCCCCCCTTCCCCGTCTTATCACTCGGACAAACCAACAGCTAATCCACTCGAGAGGAGACTAACGAAGAGGCATTTCATTAGCGAGAGACGAGCGTGTGTGTGTGTGTGTGTGTGTGTGTTATCAGTAAATGTGATGCGTCTAAGAATAGAACAACAATTAGGGCTTTTAAATGGGTCAGTCCCTCGTCACAGACCAGAGGGGACGGATCTCTAGTAGTAATTCGAAAAAAATACGATAAATTTGACTTTATTTCAATCCTTACACTACATTTAAAAGATACGCCCGTGTTTTTGCTTCGTCTGGAACGTTTCACAGTTAAATAGGGATGTAACAATAACCGAAATATTGTGATATATACATGCTTCACGAATTTCGGCAATTCATACTGGGAAGGGTCCGCCGAAAAAGTGAGCATCAGACCTCCATGTTTGTTTTCCCAGTGGGATGTGTCTGTTTTCAAAGTCGATCTTTTCAAGTCTTTTGAACCATATCACTTTTGTTTCTGGTTCTGATATTGTCATATTTTAGTTTTGGGATTCGGACATCGTAATTGTGTGGTTGCTGGATCCTAACAGCGGAAAACAGCTCGACAAACAGGCTTTGGAAGTTCGCAAACTCCATAAATGCAAAAGTGAATCAGATGTGTGTGACTCAAACCTCTGTTCAAGCTGTTTCCCTTTACAACAGAATTGAAAAATAGTGAAAGGTGAAGGTGATGGGCAGGATTGATCCACAGGAAGAACCAAAAAGGAAACATTTGACTGACTAAGAAATCATCCCCGTTTGTAGAGAACATTTTGTATGTGGAGCGACAACAAAGTGGGAACCCGTTTGTTATGTGAGAAGTGCAGAAGACAAACAGACTGAGCTGCACTTTCTTGTTCTTGTGGTTTTACAGAAACATCACGTCTTGGTCTCTTCACAGTGGAAGGTGTTTCTTGGTGAACAGTTGGAGCCTTTCGCTTTGACGTTGAATTTTTAAATTCGTAACCAAGGTTGAGTGAGGGATCAGGATTTTGTTTTGTTGTCGCTCCACATACAAAATGTTCTCTGTAAACTCAGGATGATTTCTTAGTCAGTCAAATGTTTCCTTTTTGGTTCTTCCTGTGGATCAATCCTGCCCATCACCTTCACCTCGACTATTTTTCAATTCTGTTGGGAAGAAAAAACAGTTTGAACAGAGGTTTGAGTCACACACATCTGATTCACTTTTGCATTTATGAAGTTCACAAACAAATTTCTCGAGCCGTTTTCCACTGTTCGGATCCAACAATCACACAATTACGATGTCTGAATCCCAAAACTAAAATATGACAATATCAGAACCAGAAACAAAAGTGATATGGTTCAAAAAACTTGAAAAGATCGACTTTGACAATAGACACATCCCACTGGGAAAACAAACATGGAGATTTGATGCTCACTTTTTCGGAGGATCCTTCCCAGTGTGAATTGACTGAAGTCCAAAATTCGGGATGCATGTGTAGCTAATAAACATCGGGAACTACATTTCCCATGATTCATTTCAGCACAGACAACATGAAGAAATATGTTTTTACTTGAATTCTTGAGATTATGACGGAAATAATTCACACCAAAATCTTGTCAGGGTATTTTAAAAGCAAAAAAAAAAAAGTGTCCTATCTACAATATATCAGCCTCTCTAAAATATCTAATATATATGGAACATTCCAGACAGAGCAATGACATCTCCATAGAAACAAGCAGGTGAGGTGATGGACCCTCAAATATTCCTGACCGAGTCGCTGGAGAGAAATGAAACCTGAGCGGAGGCACTAGGTGGCGTCAGATCCACAGTGTTAAACTATTTTGTTCCAGTGTTGCTGGTTCAATTGAATGTTGAAAAGAAAAAGAAATGTTCTACATTTAAAGTCCAAATAAGCGACTTAAGGATCCTTTTATTGTTGGTTCAATGACTGTTTTTCCATCCATCCAAACTTGAGTAATACTAACAGTTCAGAGACACGATCACTTAGTTAACAATAAAATATCCTCATTCATGTTTAATAATGCTCAAATCCAACTTTTATTTTGTGATTTTATGTGTATATATATATATGTGTGTGTGTGTGTGTGTGTGTGTACAGTGTTGGGGAGTAACAGATTACATGTACTGGAGTTATGTAATCAGAGTACAAATGATGAGTAACTGTATTCAGTTACAGTTACTGTTTCAGTGAGTGGTATTTGGATTACAGTTACTTTGTTGAAATAAATGGATTACATGGTGGTATTTTCCTGTTTTCACATTTTAGACTAAACCAGGTGTAAACCAGGTCTAAACCAGGACTAAACCAGTACTAAACCAGGTCTAAACCAGGTCTAAAGCAGGACTAAACCAGGACTAAACCAGGAATAAACCAGGTGTAAACCAGGACTAAACCAGGAATAAACCAGGTTAAACCAGGACTAAACCAGGAATAAACCAGGTCTAAACCAAGACTAAACCAGGACTAAACCAGGAATAAACCAGGTCTAAACCAGACTAAACCAGGACTAAACCAGGTCTAAACCAGGTCTAAACCAGGACTAAACTAGGACTAAACCAGGACTAAACCAGGTCTAAACCAGGAATAAACCAGGTCTAAACCAGGATAAACCAGGTCTAAACCAGGTCTAAACCAGGACTAAACCAGGACTAAACCAGGACTAAACCAGGAGTAAACCAGGACTAAACCAGGACTAAACCAGGACTAAACCAGGTCTAAATCAGGACTAAACCAGGACTAAACCAGGAATAAACCAGGTCTAAACCAGGACTAAACCAGGAATAAACCAGGTCTAAACCAGGACTAAACCAGGACTAAACCAGGAATAAACCAGGTCTAAACCAAGACTAAACCAGGACTAAACCAGGTCTAAACCAGGTCTAAACCAGGACTAAACAGGACTAAACCAGGAGTAAACCAGGTCTAAACCAGGAATAAACCAGGTCTAAACCAGGTCTAAACCAGGAATAAACCAGGTCTAAACCTGGTCTAAACCAGGACTAAACCAGGACTAAACCAGGAGTAAACCAGGACTAAACCAGGACTAAACCAGGACTAAACCAGGACTAAACCAGGAATAAACCAGGTCTAAACCAGGTCTAAACCAGGTCTAACCAGGACTAAACCAGGACTAAACCAGGCTTTTCATTTTCTTTAAACAGACAAAACATCTTAGGTGAAGATTTCCTCGTCTTTGTTTCTCTACAGCAAATCAAGTAATCCAAAGTATTCAGATTACATTACTCACTTTAAGTAATTTAATGGATTCTGTTACAAACTACATTTTGGTGTGTGTAATCTGTAATCTGTAGGGGATTACATTTTAAAAGTCACCTTCCCAACACTGTGTATATAATCACCTTCCACGGTGGTTGGTCTCTCACCCTCATCCAGCTCGTCTCGTCTACCAGAGTCTGGGAGCCTGACAGTTCTTCAGTATCTTTGCTGTTCCAGTTCTGCACTTTTCTGGACAGAGATGTTCTGTTGTTTTTCCTGGTTTCTGTTGTAGTTTCTCTAACAGTTTGGGGGTTACAGCCCCGAGTGTCCGATCACCACAAGCTCCACTGTTTCCTTCACTTTCCAGACTCTCTCCAGCTCCTCCTTGAGCCCCTGGTATTTCTCTAGTTTCTCATGTTCCTTTTTCCTGATGTTACCATCGCTTGGTGTTGTGATGTTCCACCACCACGGCTCTGCTCTGTTTCTTACCTCCACTGTGTCTGGTTGGTTCATCTCCATCATCAAGCAGCTGCTTTGCTCAGGTGGTAAGTCACTGGACTTTCACATGGGGGACCAGGGTTCAGGGGATCGTTGAATCGATTTTTTCTTACACCCCTAATATTTAGGCTGAGTTCATCTCTCAAACTCTCTCCAGTGGCATTACGGGAAGAGCTCCACTGTGTTTTTAAACTCCACACATCTTCATTAGAATCATTTGGATCATTTCAGCTCTGGAATGACCAATCTCTACTGAACTAAAGATAAAAGGAGCTGTTTAAAAGTGAAAAAACTGCACCGCACACTCACACGGCCGATGTCCAAAAGCTTTTATTTTTATTTTTAAATAACATTTCAGCAAAAATTCTTCATCAGATCAGTTTTCGTGCTTTGGACCACCGTATTCAAAATGGTTGCTGTTGTGTACTGTGGCCCAAAGCACAAAAAATGATCTAACGAAAGACGATCTGAGTGTGTTTTCACTTTGAAACAGCTCCTTTTGCCTTTAATAGGAGGGTTTCAGTCACGTGATCACGATGATGCGCGAATTTCAGGTGGAGGGCAGGAAGTGAAGACAAACACGATAAACAAACACGACAAACAAACACGACAAACAAACACGGCTCTGGAGAACACAGATGTGGAGAAGAGTTCTTATTGTCAGGATTTAGAGCCAGAAGTGAGGCAAAAGTACGAGAAGTTAGTCGACAAATATATTGGCCGTGACCCTGATCTTATTGAAAATGAGAGAATTTTCAACCGAAGTAAAAGATTTGCCGACAATCAAGACAGAGGAGATCACGAACTATTGAGCTCTTCAGACATCGTTCTACAGACAACAGATGAAGGTGAACAAAAGTTTGGAGGCATAGAACTTTTTTCATCAGTGGATGGATCCTCAACCTTGGTGCAAAACGCCTAAATGATGATTATGGTTTGGTCTTGGCCGGGGTGAGTGTTTCTCTTATTTTATGTGTATAGACGTTATGGGAAAAACTTCAGTGTATCAGCAGTGACCTCGATCTGAACTATTTAATGTCAACAAACGTCGTTAGCCGTTAGTCGTTAATGATTCGTTTATGTTTAGGTAAACTACTGTGACCAAACGTCCGTTTTTCCCCGGACATGTCCGTATTTTGCGTCCTGTCCGGGGCGTCCGGGTTTTTTTTTTTTAAAGTGATGCAAATGTCCGGGTTTTCAGTACTGTTCATTGGGGCATTAAA